AATTGTCATAAATATTAAGTAAATTTAATATGAAAAGAGTTTTATGCAATTGTACCACAGGGGGGTAGGCTTGTAGTTTTAATGTTTGGTCTTTTAATGCATTTTAAGGTATTGTAATGTTTTGTATGCTTTTTTTTTCTTTTACTTTGGCTTGACCTTGTGGGTTATATAAAATTTGTGTATGTTGAGCTGCGGTGATACATTTGGTAAATTAACAAGTTTATATCAACTAATAATTTTTGAAAATTATTACTTTTAAGGAATACTAATCAGTATTTTATGAAACTCTTAATTTTGGTATAATAGTAATGTTATTGTTGTTGTTAAGTGCCGTCGAGTCACAGGCGACTCATAGCGACCCTATGAAGGAGAGGCCTCGATGCTTGGGTGCCTTTCATTCTCTCTCCAGGTTCATAGGGTTTCGGGAGGCAAGCGATTACGGAAGTGGATGCCACACCTCCTTAGTAATGTTATTAGAGCTATATTTAATCTAGTATTTTTAATTTTTTTTAATCTAATACTTCTTGAGGTGGCATGAAATAAATTTAAGACATGCTGTCATTGTTTACAGCAGGTTTACTTTTGTTAACAGGATACTGCTGGCATTTTGCTTTGTTTTTTGCAGACCCTGAAGCTGATTGGCCTGCCTTCTTAGCTATCTGATTTAATTTTATTGCTTTGGTTTTGGAGACTTTTTTATTATAATGTACATTGAATTTATGTTTGGAAAAAGCTGTTTTATTTTTGAGTACTTGAAAAACAGATTTTACAGACAGCAAATTGAGGGTATAACTTTTATTTTTTACATTTACTCTGAGAACTGAGTTGTATTTTTTTCTCTTATTTGCTTCTAAACTTTTAGGTTACTTTATCTAGGGAGCTATGAAACACTGGTTTGTATGCTTATCTCCAACACTTTGGATTGTCAAGGATAAACAGACTTGCCAGCCTTATCACTGCCAATTGAGGGGAAATAATAATGCAGGATTATGTTTCTTTGAGGCTTTTGTTTAAAGGCAACAAAGGCTGTTTCTTGACTTTAGCTTTAACTTTTCTTAATGTAATATTACTTAATTCATATTTATGCACAGAATTAACTATTTATTTTGCAGTTTTGTTGGATCATGAGAACAATCCTGTATAGACTTATTACTATGCCTATAGTATATAACTTTATATTATTAATTATAAAATATTATTAATTCTATTTCATTATTTACATTATTAGTTCACATTATGATAAAGCCTAACCTGGTCAAAAATCAATAGAAATCTATTCCTTGTTTGATGCACTTTTTGTAAGTTTCTTATAACATATAGCCAAGTTTTTTACAACCTACTGTTTTAAACTAGTAACAAGGTTTCATGAGTGAAGCTGAGAGAGGATTAGCAAAGTGAAATGCAGTTTTTCAGAGGATTAAAGGATTGCTCAGGCAAATGTCTATAACTATTAAAAAAGAAATGAAGGGGGAGGGCTTTGCCCTCTCTCATCTCAGTTATTCGTGATAGAAAGCACACTCAACCCCAAATTTGCACATTAAAGATGTGAGCAGCAGTAATTCAAGTTAAACCCTTGATCTGAGGTCTTTTAAATTACTTTCAGAATTACCCATGCTAAAGCAAGGGAGCACTTACCGGATAAAATAAACCTGAATCAGGTCCCTTTTCCCTGATGGGGGCAAGCATGGAAGGAAGAATTACTTGCTGAATTACCCTTGCTTAAGCAAGGGAGTACTTACCTGTAAGATAAGCCTGCGTCCAGTCTCTTGTTCCCTGATGGGGATGAGCACAGAAGAGAGTACTCCCCCAGTAAAATATGCCTATATCAGGTCCCTGTTTGGGCACCAAATGTCAGCAGGGAGCAGCAACACCCTGATGTGGTAAGCACAATGGAGACACACCACTTAGGGAGTGCTTCAGAGAGCTGACTCAACTTTATTGGGGGTTACAGTGTGCTTATATACAAGCAAGTAAACAGGAAGACAGAGTGGGGTGGATTTGTAGATGTGGAGTATGCAGATTGGACAGGAGAACATCAGCTCAATGTAGTCCACTCCCAGCTCAACAGTTGCGTCAGCCATCTTAGGCTTGCATTTATCTGGAGCTAGGCAGTCTGCCTCGGCCAGAGGCCTCCCCCTTCTCCCTAACATTCCCCAACAGATATTAAGGAGCTGAACAGAAGATTTCAAAGGACAGTGTGGGAAGGCAAAGTAAAGTATTATAATGAAATGTAAAAAGAGCTGGCGTCAGAAAATCAAAGGAGCCGAAATCGCTCAGCATTTCTTAAGCTGAAGGAACTGAAGAACAAATTTAAATCTCGAGTTGCAATGCTTAAGGATGGTTTGGGTGGAATATTAAACGATCCAGGAAGCATTAAAAGAAAATGTAAAGTGTATACAGGATTCATTGCACCAAATCGAATTGGCTGACACAGAAGAAAGTTTGTGCAAGTGGCTCTGAAGAAACTGGCAAAAGACAAGGCCCCAGGAATTGACAGCAAACCAATTGACATATTTCAACAAACAGATCCTGCCCTGGATGTTCTCACCAAGTTGTGACAAGAAGTCTGGAGGACAACTACCTGGCCAATTTACTGGAAGATAGCTATATTTGTTCCCATTCCAAAAACGGGTGACCCAACAGAGTGTGGAAATTATCGAACAGTATCACTGGTATCACACGCAAGGAAGATTCTGCTGAAGATTATAAAAAAACAACTGGAATAGCACATCAACAGAGAACTGCCTGAAGTGCAGGCTGGGTTTAGAAAAGGCTGTGGTACTAGAAGTATTATAGCTAATGTTAGATGGATCTTGGTGGAAAGCAGGAGTCCCAAAGGAATATCTATCTGTGTTTCATTGACTATACAAAGGCATTTGACTTTGTGGATCACAACAAACTGTGGCTGACTCTGAGAAGAATGAGAATCCCAGAACACTTGATTATGCTTGTGCAAAACCTTTACTTAGACCAGGAAGCACTCATCAGAACAGAGCAAGGAAGCACTGCATGGTTCAAAATTGGGAAGGGTATACTTTTTCAGTCTATATGCAAAATAGATTATCTGGGAGGCTGGCCTCTATGAGGAGAAATGTGGCATCAGGATTGGAGGAAGACTCATCAACAATCTGTATTATGGAGCTCTGGTGGCAAGAAGCTGTGCTGCAATCCTAAAGGTGCACAGTTCAAATCCACCAGATGCTCCACTGCAGAAGGAGCAATCTCCTCCTATACCAGTTGGATCTGATTCAATGGTACACATACTAAAAAAAAAAAAATTAAAAATAATGCAAAAAAAAATCTGTGTTGTGCAGATGACACAGCCCTGCTTGCTGAAACTGAGGAGGACCTGAAGCACTTGCTGCAGAAGGCCAAAGGCTGCAGCCTTCAATATGGATTGAAGCTGAACATCAAGAAAACAAGATTCTCACTTCTGGGCCAATTGGCAGCATCATGATAGATGATGAAGAAATTGAGATTGTTAGTAGCTTCAGTTTGCTTGGTTCCACAGGCAACACTCTTGGTAACAGCAGCCAGGAAATTAAAAGATAAATTTCATTGAGAAAGTCTGAGGTCAGAGACCTCTCTATAGTACTGAAGAGCAATGATGGCAGTCTGGAGACTAAAGTGTGACTAATTCAGGCATTGTCTTTGCAGTTATTTGCTATGTATCAGAAAGCTGGACAGTGACTAGGGATGACAGAAGGAGAATTGATGCCTTTGAGCTGTGGGGAAGAGTATTGAATACACTATGGACTGCTAGGAAAACAAAGAGGTTCATCATAGAGAGGATGAGACCTGAGACCTGGATGCTCCCTGGAGGCAAGGATTCTTTTTTTTTTTAGGCAAGGATTCTGAAGCTTCATTTGACATACTTTACATGTATTGGAGAGGGGACATCATGCTTGGGAGAGTGGAGGGCCAGCCAAGAGAGGAAGACCGTCGATGAGATGGATTGATTGATTCAATGACTGGGATTATGGGAGTAGTTGTGTCAGAGACCATAAGATTGGCATAGCATAGAGCAGTGTTTAGAACTGTTGTACTAAACTGTTGTACTAGAACTGTCAACTCAACGGCACATAACAACACCACCCCCTACTTTTGGCAATATGTCTAAAGTTTTACTCTACCCTTGCCTCTAAGGAGCACCCAAGTTGTATTTCCTCCATGACAGACTTGTCTTTTTCACAGTTCATGGTATATTCAGTGCTCTTCTCCAACACTAAAATTAAAAGGCTTCAATTTGTTTGTCATCCTTCATCATTGTCCAACTTTCAGATGTACTGTTAGTTGTTGGAAAGACCATGACTTTGATCAGGTCCACCTGACATCTGATGTCTTATAACTGACATCATTGATTGTTAGCACTTTGGTGAAGTCCTTGGCAATAGATTTTCCCTAATGTAGTAAGTATATTAGAATGTACCAATATGTACATATGATGATTTCCAGTTATTAATAATTTTTTCACATATAGTATTAATGATGTGGGTCTTCTTATCATCTGTCTTCCAAATCTGTTTGAGATATTATTGTAAATATTTTCTCTTTTGATATGTGTTTTTCTGTTTCACTGAATAGCCATGGATGTTGAAAGAGCCAGTGCTCATTGCAGATTTATGAACATTTCTCTGAGGATCAATGAGATTGGGGTTCCCTTGTTGTTCTGGACATCTGTTGGAGAGTTTAGGGTCATATAGAGAGCCCCTAAAGTTTGGAAGCAGACTTTATATAGAAGTGGATAAATTATTTCTGGCTTCCTTCCAACTCTCTGCCCTAATAGAGTGTTTTTATATTTGCAGAACAGGCAAGCCTGGATATTACCTAATTCTACCAATGCTCTGTATATAAATTGGCTAGGATTGTTGCGACAACAATGATTTGGCAGATTAGCTCTCCCTCTCAGGTATGCTTTTCTGGTCTCATCACTGTCTCTCCTTCCCCAGGAGAAACTGCCCCATGAGGTGAATGTGAGCGCTCAGCAGAAGGAGGGTACCATGCAGAGCACAATGGAGCAGAGGAGTGTGCTGGTGCACAGTAAAGTCAGTGATGCTGGCAAGAGGAATGGCCTGATTAACACTAGGAATTTGATGGCAGAGAACAGAGATGGGTTAATGTCCATCTACCCAGTGCCCAAATACCAGAGTCGCCGCGTGGTGGCTGGTGTCACGTCAGCTTCCTTGAATAGCATCAGAAGTGAGCCAGTCCAACAGCTGCTGGATCCCAATGCCCTACATCAATCCTTAGAGTCCCACTACCACCCCAATATCATCATCTACTCAGAGGGTGTGCTGCGCTCCTGGGGGGACGGAATGTCTGCTGACTGCTGTGAAACCACCTTCATTGAAGACTGCTCATCTAACAAAGACAGCCTGGAGTACTCCAAAGGGAAGTTCATGAACCTCTCAGCTGATGACATCAGAATCCACACTCTCTCCTATGATGTTGAGGAAGAGGAGGATTTCCAGGATCTAGAGGTTAGAGGATGTTTTTCTGCTCCTGTTTTGCGAGTCTTTTGGAATGGGATGGTAGAGGTTTGGTGGGGATCCACTGGGGCCTGGCAATATTGTGGGAACAAAAGTAGAATAAAAAGCAAAGAAACAGAGGACAATCTGTTAACTCTTGAGTATTTGTGAAAATGAAAGGAATGGAGAAAACTTAGATTCATGGAGATCCAATGGGTGCTTCATCAGTGATCCTAGCCCAGGAGGGTGTAAGAACAAACTGAGCTGCAGATAAACTTAAGATGCACTGATTCAAGGAGTTCATTGTCTACAATTTCATGCACATGTGAGTAGCTGAGTTAGAGTATGGTCCTAGAACCACAAGAGGCTGCAAGTGCATATTTGGGAACAATTTATAAATCTTCTAGCAGTCTCATTTTGTTTCCTCAGTTTAGATTCCAACGTTTTTACTAAGGGATTATTATAGCTAAAACCCACTGGAAGAAATAATGGAAATTATTTCCACAAAGGGAAGATAACAAATTATAATATATATATATAAAATTTTCTTTAATATAGGTACAGGTAATAATAGGGTACAGGTAAGGTCATCTGAAATGCACATGTTGGATTGTGCACACCACCAGACATGGTGCTGTAAGATGGCAGGTAGTCTCTGGATGGTTTGGCACATTGCCAACCCTTCAAAATGGCCTCAGGTGGCAAGTGTCCATGCTGCACAAATGTAAACAAGGTGAGTTTGGAAAAAAAGTTTTGAAATATATCAGCTGGGAGGTGGTTGCCCACCAGGTTTAAGATGGCACTTTCACTGTAGTGAAAGTGAAAAGTGTTCTTCAGAGATATGAGTGTCAGTAAAGAGTTTTTATGGGGTTTTGGAGAAGGAAGCTTTAGAGAGAATCCGCTCTTGGAAGGGAATATTATCAGAAGAAAATAATATCTCCTTTGGTTAATGTAGGTGAACACATTTTGCAGGTGGAGGGGAATGTTCAGAGAAGATGAATCAAGAGATTGTGAGGTACAGTCCTAGGGTTATAAGGTCTGTCCTTTCATGACCAAACTAAATTGATGAGGAAAGAAATGAGAGAGTCTGTGTTACTTGGGAAGAAACACAGGCAGGGAGGTGCACAGGAATAAAGCACAGGCAGAGAACCAGGGCAAAATAAAAAATATATTCATAAAATTGAGGCAGATTGACTAACCACCTGGAGGAAGCTAGAAGAGACTGCTCAGTGAAGTCTACTGGAGTTCTCATCTGGTTTGTGATTCCTGACTTTCTGTAGCAGCTGAGTCTCAGCTGGGCATAAACAGTCTACTTTCTTCTGCCTATTAAATGACAGGCCAGATAAAGCAAAATGAGAAGTTGTAGAGTGGGATTAGAGCCTCATCATCCCTAAAACATTTCTTTCCTGACACTGCTTACAGTGCCCACTGTGTGACATTACTCATCCTACTGCTTCTATGTTTTGCTTTGGTGTGCTTTTCGTGTTTCCTTCTTTACTAGCCCTTCTTGCATTTTGAACTTCATTCTTGGCATGCGTTGCCCTGTTTAGAGTAGCTTTTTATAGGTCTCCACTATCTTCAGTGCTTTTATAACTCTCTTATATTTGCATAAAACATACTTCTTTGATGATTTGCCTTGAGACCTTGAACACACCGTTCAGCATTTATCATACAACAATAATAAAAGCATCATCTCGTATTTATAATATTGTAAGAAAAATTAACAGCATATCTTTTAAGACCATTTATTAATGAAAAAAATGTTGCGGGTTTTTTTTTAAGAGAGCAATGAGAAATCTGGTCTTCTTATAAAAATATAATACAGCTGTCTATTGATTATGCCACTAGAGAACCAGGGCAAAATATAAAATATATGCAAAGATAACCTCAGAGTGTAACTTCTTTTTTTTTATGGTGCATGATCCATCTATTATATAAGATTAATACAAGTTTATACTTTTCATGTTTGATGAAGCATAAGTTGCAGAATCCAATTTAGACTGATTGAAGCACAATTATAATCCTTGCACGTGATCAAACCTAGGTGAGAGCCAATGTGAATCTGCTGTCCCGGGACTTAAAGTTGTACCGTGGTCCACCCATTTCACTAGTCTCATTTTTTAGTATGATGAAGAGAGTACTTTTCTCTCTCAGCTTTCCATAAGGCTTTCTCTTTTTCACTTTCTCTTTCTCAGTCTCTATCTCAATCCCACTCTCTTTCTCCATCTCTTGCCAGAGCTGGGATACCAAGGAGTATCCCATTTTTCTGCCCAATCCTCTTCCCGATCATCAGCACCACGCCAAGAACTTACTTCATCCCCTTCTGATCTGAGCAGAGGGCCTCTTTGGTCTTGGTCATCCCACCGGTCCTTCAGGTTCCTCTGCTCATCCCTCGGGTGCCACTAGTCATCTCTGTTGTCATGGCGATCATCCCTGTCCCAGCCGTCCTGGTGACTGGAATCTCTCCAGCTCAAAGCTTCCTCAGCTAGACCTCTTCTCCACCCTCATCCTTTGGTCATCAAAAGCTGTCCTGCTCTCAGTCACAATCATGGTCTTGGTTCCAGTCCGTCTCAGTCTCATTCTTGCTCTAGCTCTCTCTCAGGTTTCTTATCGTTCTCATCTCAGTCTGGGTTATCTCAGTTCCACTCTTTTTCTCAATCCTATTGAGAGCCTTCAAATGATCTTGATTCTTGGCGTGGACCCCAAATGTTTTCTCTTGGCTTTTTCTCAATCTCTCCATCCACCTGGCTTTCCAAATGGTCCCCCGGGACCAGATCTGGAGTCCTCGCCCCTCCTGGGGATCTAATCATCGCTAGTACGTCTCGACAGCCAATCATCATCCATGTTTCTCCAAGTCCCCTTTCATCATCTTCACCACACCTGGAAATTCTGTCATCGTCAGTGTTCCTCCAAGGTCCTCGATCCTCATTCAACCCATTCTGGGTACCCCAATTGTCGTCAGCACTGCAGCAGGATGATCGCTCATCATCAGCACCATTTAGTCATGGCCCCTAGTCCTCATCCAGCCCACGTCTTGGTCCTCTGTCCTCATCAGCTGTTCTCCAGTTTCCTCTGCAATCATCCAGTCCCTGCTGGATGTCACCAGTTAAGCCAATCTTCATCAACAATTCACCTGGGAGGTCTGTCATCTTCTGCATTATGCCAGGAAGGCGGGTCATCATCGGCCCTGTGGCTGGAAAAGCAATCTTTGTCAGGACCATGCTAGAGGACTCTGTCCTTGTCCAGGCCTCTCTGCAGCAGCCGGTCTTCTTCAGAGTATAACTTTAGCCAGAGTCCATTGTTTTTGTTTGTTTTACTCTAGCAAACCATTTCACAATGTTTCATAAAAACAGAGAAACACCAAACTGACAGTTTAAGGTGTATCATATATTCTCATATACAGACAGAAATTGTCCTTCTTATTAAAAACAAAACAAACAAAAAATTTGATAGATCTGCTCTGCCCCTCCCTCAGCTGTCTACTCTCGTGGCTCCTGTGTGCTTAAGCCCACTACAGAAGAAACTCTTTCCAGAAAGTCTTTCAACAGGAGACTGTGGAAGAACCTGATGGCCCCTGTGGAGATGTCAGGCTTCTTTTTTATTTAGAAATGGCTGCAAGTGGAAGCTGAAGAGTGCAAAAGGAACTTTGTAAATTCCTTTTGCATAATGAAATGACACTGTGATTTCCTAAGAATTGAACCTTGCTTACCTAACTAATGAAAAAGCAGCTCATTGTTTAATGGTGTGTACAAATTCATCTAGACAGATCTTCATGAATTGTTTCCATTCCAATCCATCACTTCTTTATACCAAAAGTAGTTTACAGGGTGTGGTAGATTTTTTTTTTTTTTGTGTGTGTGTGTGTGTGTGCCATTTAGGGATGGAGAGGGTAGATGTGATGAAGCCAACAATTCAGGACTATAAATCCCTCTCTTTTTGTGTTTTTCTGTTATTACACCAGAGAACTTTTTGGAAGATGCAAATTAGGGTCTCTGAGATTATAATCACATGGTTACAGCACTCAGAATCTAAATTTAACTTGTGTGATATTCACCACTCTATTTTTTAGATGTTTACTGGGTACATTTTAGGGTTTTCATTTTGTGTAGAATTAGGTTCTTTTCTTTAAAGGCTATTGTTGTTAGGTGACATTCAGTCAGAATGACCTATAGTATTCTATGGGCAGCAGATCTGAACCCTGCCCTATCCTGTGCCATCCTCACACTTTCTGACACATTGAGCCCGTTGCAGCAGTCATTGTATCAATCTACCTGGTTGAGGGTCTTCCTCTCCTTCACTGACCATTCACCTTTCCGAACATCATGTCCTTCTGCAAGGAATAGCTCCTTTTAGCAACATGCCCGAATATGTGAAGGGAATCTTCATCATCTTTGTCTCCATAGAGCACTCTGTCTTTACCCTCTCCAAGATATACTTTTTGTTCTTCTGGCAGTCTGTGGGATGTTCAGTGTTCTTCTCCAACACCACTGCTCAAAGACATCAATTATTTTTCTGCCATCCTTATTCATTGTTCAGCTCTCAGATATATAGCAAGTGATTGGAAAGACCTCAAACTGACATTATTATTCCTCAGTAATTTGCAGACTTCCCAGTGCAGTATATTTCCTGATTTCCTGACTGCTGATACCAAAGGCGTTAATTGTGGATCCAAGTAAAATTATATTGTTGACAATTTCAATATTTTCTCCATCTATCATTATTTATTCATTGCAAATACTTTTTATAAGAAACACAACCGAGACAATACACATGAATTTCACCAGATGGTATGCTTAGAAATCATATTTTTTATTTCTGTGGAAAGAATTGCTGGAGAAGCTCAATATTAGCTGTGGAAAGTAGGCCAGGTGCTGATTGTGGAACAGACCAAAAACAACTCAAATGCAAGGTCAAGCTAAAGTGAAAAAAATTAAATCAAATCCAAAGGAACCAAAATTTGACCTTGAGTTTATCCCACTTTGCGGGAAGACCAAATGAGCTATAGGAGGCTA